ACAGTGAGTGGCAAACATAGTAATCAAAATTAGCACCTAATATCAAAGCCACTTCTTAATGATTAGTCCAGGCATGTTCTGCCCTCAGAATAGTTGTATGTGAATATTTGGGCAAGATGTACATATATTGAGAGGTCAAGCAATGCATTTTTAAAAATATATACAAAAAAATGACTTCTGGGAATAATCTTTTAATCATGTTTGTTTGCAGAAACACATAACAGTTATAGTAAAGCAATCAAATGGATGTTCCATTTGACTGGAAGAAGAATAATTTACAATGTGTACACAGCGGCAAAGGTTTTCTACAAAATTATTTTACAGTACAGAATATGGATTTTACGCAGATATTGCCTTATTGTTCATCATCATCCAATCCTCTACTAAGTACAGTATATTCATGAAATAATCTGGTTCTTTTTGCCTATTAGTTTAAAAAATATATATATCGGGATATCAGTATTTACAGTATTGTGCATGTTCATCTCTTCATGAAATTGTCCAATGAAGCTGGTGTCCTTTGAATGGAGTGGATATTCCTCTTCACTCTGTCCTCCAAAGATGACGTGGCAGCGCTCTCCAACTTCATGTCACTGGAAAAAGGAAAGCAGGCGTTCTTGGACAAAAACTGCACTAGACTTGATATTCCTCTTTGAAAGCAAAAAACTTAAAAAAAACAAAAAACTGTAATGCTGTCTTTATATTTTAAAATGCCTAAGAGGTTGTCCTGTGACATCAAACATAGGCAGACATGTTCGGTGAAAAAAGAAAGAGAGAGAGAGAGAGAGAGAGAGAGAGAGAGAGAGAGAGAGAGAGAGAGAGAGAGAGAGAGAGAGAGAGAGAGAGAGAGAGAGAGAGAGAGAGAGAGAGAGAGAGAGAGAGAGAGAGAGAGAGAGAGAGAGAGAGAGAGACATACATACTGGATAAAACCAGCATGGCGTTCATGCTTGGAATTTTGTTCCCGCTGTTTTTCCTGCTCATCTTGCTTCATATATCTTCTCATGTTATTCTCCCTGTCCTCATCTCTCTTCTTGGCCTGGTCCATCATCTCCTTTCTCCTCTGCTCCAGCTCCTCTGCAGAGAGCTTCCTGCAAGAAAAACATGACAACAACACTAACGCTGATTAAATGCTGTTAGAAATTAGTACGATGACCTTTTTTTTTTTTTTAACAGATAATCACATAATTCACTCACGGATTTACAAGCATTCCCACATGTAGAGGCAAAGCCAGTGCATGAACAGTACGTACATAATTTATAGCAACGTAAAACATCCTGGTGGATTAAAGTCGCTCCTAAATCCTTGTGGAAGCAGAAACCAGCATATCCATCTCACAGTGCAGAGGTGCAGGGTTCGATTCCGGCTCTGGGCTTCCTGTGTGGGGTTTGCATATTCTCCCTGTGCCTGCAGGGGTTTTCTCCGGGTACTCTGATTTCCTCCCACATTCCAAAAACATGCGTAGCAGGTTAATGGAACACTCTCAATTGTCCCTAGGTGTCAGCGTGAGCATGAATGGTTGTTCGTCTATGTGTGCCCTGCGATTGGCTGGCGACCAGTTGAGGGTGTACTCCGCGTACTGCCCAAAGATAGCTGGGATAGGGTCCAGCACACCCGCGACCCTTGTGAGAATAAGTGGATTCGAAAATGGATGTCTGCATATTGACACTTAGTGTAAATACATAGTCAATGCAGTACTCAAGCAATTTAGTGGTTGCCTGAATTAACCCCCTCGAAGAAACACACATGAGTGTGTGTTTCCGTGAGTTGTCAGCGAAACATCCATTCATCCATTCATTTTCTACCGCTTTCGCGTCAGCGAACCAGGTGTCCATAAATCACGGACTGAGAAGTCCGTCAGTACTTGATGTGGTTAATGACGATTACAGTGACGGACAATAACCTCCTTCCGTATAAAAGTTTCTTGTTAATTGTGAGAAAAACGGCCCAGTGACAGTCTGACGGACCTTCCATCAATGCCAGGGATGTGTCCAAGGACCGGCAACCCGAGGCCAAGGCCAAGGACTTGACTCCCAAGGCCGAGGCCAAGGCCAAGGAATTGACTTCCAAGGCCAAGGCCAAGGACCAAGGACTTGCTTCCGAGGCCAAGGCCAAGGACCAAGGACTGATTTTGAAACTGAGGCCTAGCCAAGGACATGTATAAAACAATGCTATCATACCACTTGGCAGGTCCTCATGATTATCAACACCCCTCCATCATAACCCTTAGCACTCCCTAACGCTTGAATGAAGTGATTTTATTCAAAGAGTAGAACAGTCAG